AATAAAAAAAATAATTTAATAGATTGAGTGACTTTTTATGGAAAGAGTAAATAGTTGAGTTGAGTTAAAATTCAAAATTGAGTGAATTTCTGAAAAAAGAAGTATGTAGTTGAATTGACTTTTAAGTGAAAATTGAAAGTTGAGCGAGGATCTGAGATATTAACTCTTATGTATTTTGACTCTTTTTTTTATTGTTGTTCTTGATAAGAATAAAGTTTCTTATATTTGATTTTTTTTAATTGATGAACAAACTTAAGATGATCCAGCACAAAAAAGAAGAGGATACTAGCTATTTTTATCTTTGCTAGATATCACAAAAACAAGTTCCAGGGCCTTAAAAAATTAGCCCCTAGAAAGGTGATGCACAAAAGCATTCTGGTTTGAACTTAAAAACACTTGAGACAAAGAACAAAGCTGTGCTCTAAATGCACAAAATTTCTGTTGTGACTGATGTTTATTTTTCTCCATGCTTAACTGATTCTTCTACATGTCCACGTCCAGCAATAAGATCTGTAGCTGTCTTGCCTATCTCAACTATAGTTTCACCAATTGCTTTCAATAGTCCTCCTCCCTGCTGCATGTTTTCCTCTCCTCCTGCTGATTCAAATTCTTGAAAATCTTCAGTTCTAATGAATTCACTTCCAGTTGCTCCCTGCAAAGATTTATATCAACCAATATCTAACATAGTGATGCATATGCAAGAAAAAGATTTAATTACTCATGTTTTTACCTTGAAGTCGTATGATCTTTTGGCTTCTAGTTCCCTCTCAGCTTCAGCTTTCTTCCTAGCTGTATACTCTGCTGCACTTTCTTCAGTTGAAACCACATAGTCCTTAGCATCAGCCAACTCGTTCTCTGCATATCCTACAATGTTCATTCCAGTGTCAGCAACTGCATCCTTAGCGGCCACCGCCTTTTCCTCGGTGTACCCTGCAACATTAGAAGCAACACCAACCACAGCTTTTGTGGCCTCTGCAGCTTTCTCTGCTGTATAATGTGCAGCTCCCCAACCAGACACTGCAGCTTTGTCCTTCACAATCTCGGCTACTTCCCCTGCATATCCTAATACTCCTTTGCCTGTTTCTAATGTGATGTCTTTCGCTTCTACTGCTCTCTGCCCAACATAACCTGCTGCATTCTTTGTTGATTGAACTGTCGTTTGTCCAGCACTTGAAAGGGTATCTGTAGTTGCAGCATAAGCTTGCTGACCCTTATCAAGAACTGTGTCCTTAGCCTTCTTTGCAGATTGAGCTGCATTTTGTCCAGCACTTGAAAGGGTGTCTTTAGTTGCAGCATAAGCTTGCTGACCCTTATCAAGAACTGTGTCCTTAGTCTTCTTTGCAGATTGAGCTGCAGTTTGTCCAGCACTTGAAAGGGTATTTGTAGTGGCACCATAAGCTTGCTGACCCTTATCAAGAACTGTGTCCTTAGCCGTCTTTGCAGATTGAGCTGCAATTTGTCCAGCACTTGAAAGAGTATCTGTAGTAGCACCATAAGCTTGCTGGCCCTTCTCAAAAGTTGTCTCTTTAGCATTCTTTGCTGATTGAACTGCAGTTTTTCCTGTGCTTGAAAGGGTGTCTTTAGTAGCTGCATAAGCTTGCTGACCCTTGTCAAGAACCGTGTCCTTAGCCTTCTTTGCAGATTGAGCTGCATTTTGTCCAGCAGTTGAAAGGGTAGCTGTAGTAGCACCATAAGCTTGCTGACCCTTATCAAAAACTGTCCCCTTAGCATAATCTTTGGCCTTCTTTGCAGATTGAGCTGCAGTTTGTCCAGCACTTGAAAGGTTATCTGTAGCAGCACCATAACCTTGCTGCCCCTTGTAAAGAACTGTGTCCTTAGCCTTTTTTGCTGATTCAGCTGCTGTTTTTCCTGTGCTTGAAAGGGTATCAGTAGTTGCATCATAAGCTTGCTGGCCCTTCACAAAAGCTGTGTCTTTAGCCTTCTTTGCTGATTGAGCTGCAGTCTGTCCTGTGTTTGAAAGGGCGTCTATAGTAGCAGCATAAGCTTGTTGACCCTTGTCAAGAACTGTGTTTTTAGACTTCTTTGCTGATTGAGCTGCTGTTTGTCCAGCACCTGAAAGGGTGTCTGTGGCAGCAGCATATGTTTGATCACCCTTGTCAGGTGCTGTGTTTTTAGCATAATCTTTAGGTTGTTGTGCTGATTGAACTACATTTTGTCCATGACTTGCCAATTCTTTGACATTATCATTACCCTTGTGTCTCTGGCTATGTACTTCAAACTTGACACCCCCTGGCCTCTCTTCAAAAGAATGTTTATCACAATCATTTGTGACATGAATTGCACCAGCACCACTTCCAACTTGTACTTTCACAGAAGTAGCAGCACCAGTGTCACTACCCCTTTTGGGGTCTCTTGTTCTCTTGATTTGGATTTGATGTTGTTCATCAATAACGTTGTCTTCTCTTCTTCTTACTTGTTCTGAAGCCATTGGTGTTGGTGGTATATAGTAACCAAAAAAGAGGTAGTAAACTTTGATAATTTTGATTTTGACTTTGGAAAGATTTTGTGTTGAAATGTGAGTGATGAAAGAGTGTATAAAAAGAGAAGCATAGAGGGTGTAGGTTGTTGACAAGTGGTTCAATTAGTGGTGAGTGTTGAGTTTTGTGTCATGCCACATGGTGAGATATGGTGGATTTGAGAAAACTTCACTAGTCACCAATCACTTTACAAACGTGTCACTCACTGATTTTGTCTACGTAGCAAAATTTTTACTCCCTCCGTTTCATTTTAAGTGACACTTTCTGATTTCAAGATTTAAATAAATTTATTAGATTATAACTTTTTTTATAGGTTTTTCAAACATTATAAATTGTCAATTGTTATGACTTATAATAATTTTTATAAATTTTATAAATATATAAATTTTATTTCAAAAAATTTAAAATTTCATATTCAAATTATCGATTAAACTTAAACTATTTAATTCTCGAAAATAAAACCTTCATATCTTCTCTGTGGTTTTTGAGAGATCAAACTGTCACTTTGTTCCAAGAAGCAGGTTTTGTCTTTTTGGTTTTTTGACATCATTAATCATTATTAGTCACTCTGTTTTGTTTAATTATTGATCAGAATATAGGTATAATTATCTTTTCAGATTAAAATTGAAATTTCATGAGATATATTTTGATTAAATTAAGATTTTATAATTTTTTTAAACTCATTTTTTCATAATTTTATATTTTTTTTGACTGGCGTGATATATTCAATGACTCTATATACTTGAGACGCGTAAGAAATGTTTGAATGTTACGTAAATAAAAGAAATTATACAAATTACAAAAAATATATATTCAAAAAATAATAAATCTTAGTTTAGTTAAAATATGTGCTTGAGATTTCGAGCGTAATTTAGAGCTCATTGTGTTATACCCTATTATTTATCTTAAAAAACAATTTGGACTAAGGCAACTTTTCATGCCTATAGATCTTATACAACATTTTACAATTCAAATATGAAAATTCTTATTTTGTCATTCAAATAAAAGTGAATCAAATTCCTAAACAACATACATCTTCCTAGTAAAATAGAATAATGATCATATATATATATATACTAGAATAAATTACTTTTTGTGACGACTTTGTCACCACAAAACTCTACAAAGGACTTTTCGTGACTACTTGAATGCCACTTACAATAGTTTTATTGTTAGAAATTTATTCGCGACGACCCTTAAAGAATAACATTTCTATGCAAACTTTAGGGGTCACCATCAATAAGTTTTAGCGATTAGACTATCTCAAATCATTTTATTTTTCGGGGTCACCATCAATAAGTTTTAGCGATTAGACTATCTCAAATCATTTTATTTTTCGTGACAAAACTTTCAAAGTTGCCACGAAAAACCATATTTTTTGTGGCGACTAAAAGGGTTGTTCGTGTCGCCGCGATTTCAACCAATAAGAATTGTATAAAGAAGTAGGTTCCAAGTATCAGGCAAACCAGGTAGACACCAATGGCTACAATCTGATCCATGTATATCACTATAATATCCTGGATGTCCATCTTTTCTATATTGTGAAAGAGTTGTAATATCCAATAAATAAACTTTGTTTTTAATGTTTTTGATTACTTTGTTGACCACATTTGCTTCTTGTGGTGTCCCTGCTGGATAATTTGTGCCAAAAAATGGTTGTGTTTGTCCTTTGCATGATTTTGATGGTTCATTCCAATCCTTGCCCCTGAAAATTTTCACCAAATTTAGGACATTGTAGTTACATATTCAATCGCTCGATAAAAAATATTTACAGTTTGATAATTAATATACATGTGTTATACACTTGAGAGCGATAGACATTTAAGTTAATTTTTCTTTCTATCTTATTTTATTAAAAAAAGAAATAGAGTGAATAGCTTATGTGATCATTTAACTATAACAAATCTACCGAAGTCACTTACATGTTGTTTTGTATAAATAAAGTTACTCTAGTAATTAGACTAGCTTATTAACAAAGTAATCATAGAACTAAAAAAAGGATGATCGCATAGATCGTTTTTCAAATTTGACTTCATATGATATATATATATATATATATTTATTTATTTATAAACTCGAGAAGAAATCAAGGAGCTAGACGATTGCTTACTTATAGTGAGTGGGTGAAATTCCTTGAAAGAAGACTTTAGTTTTAGATGGGTCGATATTTTTATCGACCCATCTAGCCCAAGTGGTCATTCCTTTAAAAAAAGCAACAAAACGGTCCATATCTTTGACTATTTTGCCCCTGTATTGGATGTAATCCCACCTGCAATATTTACACAATTAGAGGATATTAATTGGATGGATTAAATTAAAATTATGCAAATATTTTTACTATTTTTTTATAGTTTGAAATAGTTACATTTTATTTTATCATTTAATAATTTTATATCAAATTTTAAATCAGACACATGTGAATGACACTAAATACACAATTTATATATATATATATATATATATCAACATAATTTGCATGTATGTGGAATACCAGATATGAGCAAGATATGAGAGCGAGAGCAAGAGGAGACTAGATACTAGAGAGCTTAATGGGAGGAAGGTGAGAAAGGTGAACGTGATTGTCTATGTATCTCAAACACATGTGAATCATACTAGTACACACGTGAGGCAAGTGAGATTTATCTATGTATTTTAGATACACGTGAATCCATTTGGATATAATATATTTAGAAGAAATTACACCTAATTTTAACCTCATATATTTCGAGATATATACATTTTTCTTAATACACCAAAATTAGACAAAATTTATAATATATATTTAAGTAATTAACTCCTAAACTAATACTTACGGTTGAGAGCTGCCAGTGTGAGTCCACCAATGCCATGAATTGAATATCAATACATCCATTCCCACCCAAGCCTTGCCATCAGTAATAGAATCCAACTTCAAAACAGTGCCAATTTTTTCTTTGACCATGTCCACCAAGTATGGAGTACGATACATTGACAATCTAACTCCATAGTCCTATACACAATTTGACTGCTCGATTAAAAATATTTATAATCGTTCAACTTAAGATACATATATTATACACTTACTATACATTGTGTTATATTTACCGACTTTTTTATGACTATTCAATTTAACTCCTCTTTTTGTTTTTATTGTGTCTAAAAACGGAGTAATATATTTATGCATTTCGAAATGTTGTGTGTGCAAACAAAGACACATTAGCTATAATTTACTTAATTATGATCCGTGTAGGAGGAAAGAGATTAACGAGATTAGAAAGAATAGAGAGACCAGCGAGATACGAAAGAGAGGAGAGAGACATAAGTGATTTGTATATCATAATAAATAATAAATTCATAGATATATAGTTGAGGGATTTAAAGTGTTATCTTTTTCCCTTCAATTTATGAAATGACAAGCATGTGTTGCCAAATATATATAGTTAACAAAAAGTTGAACTAAAAAGACAAATAAATAAAAACAATTTTGCATGTGCATAGAATTGAATTTTAACTCACCAAGAATGCAATTTCAGCAATTCCATTTTTCTTTGTGAGTGAAGTTTTAGCATTTGGCAATGAAGAGTGAATCATGCAACCCAATGACTCCCACATATTCAAACTTAATGAGTCACCCACAAACATTATATTCTTCCCCTTGTATTTTTCCAAGAAAACCAAACCATTGAACCTACAAAATAGTTAATAATCAGTTTAAGTTTTAAACACAGACGATATAAAATAAACTTTGTCAATAAAGATAGAGTAAAGATTTTATTCATATGAATTTCGAATTCTAAAAAAACAATCTTAATTTGATTCAAAATTTATTTTTTATATGTATTTAATAATTTTTATTATACAAGAATTTGTGCAAGGGAATATTATATATTATATGCTCCATTACCAAGAATTTGTGCAAGGGAATTCAAATAAAATGCTAGAATTTAACACTTAATACTTGTACCTTATCATTTTTACAAATTTGAGACCCCTTTTTTCCTTCACACTAGAATCATTTCTTATATCAACATCAATTTATACTAAATTATAATAAAATAAAGGTAAGGTGTGCGTATATTCTGTCCCCTTCAATCCTTACTTATAGAATCACACCTTTAACTATCTATATTACAACAATGAGTCCAGTATAGTCTCATAAGCAGGATTAGAAGAGTCTCGTCAAGAGAAAACAGAATATAAGTAGACCTTATTCCTACCTTATTAAAATAAAAAAAGATTCTTTTAAAAAAAAATCTCCGACTCGAGTAAAACATATAAGGAAGTGCAAAATGCAAAAAGAGGAAAAAAGAGAAAGTAGTACTCTACCTTGGGAGGTTGCAAGAGGAAGGTTGCCATCTATATTTGAGGTACAAATTATCAGGCCTCTTGTACTTCTGGCAATTAAATTCATTATCAATAAATGGACATTTTGAGAAATCATACATAGGATATGAAGAATCAAAAACCCATTTTCCAACAAAAATATTGCACCCAATATTGCTAATTGCATCTATAGAATAATTATTAGTAGCATTCACATAATTATTTATTCTTACAAAAAATATCAAGAATAGAGAGAGTAACAAAAATTCCATCTTAAAAAGATAGCAATTTGTATAATTTGTGAAGTGGGAAGAATAGGATGATGTACTAAATATATATAATATATAGTATGAATATAATAAATTAAAGTGATGTTTGCAAGAATTTTGAATTTTTTTTTATGTGAGATGTGGGGGCATCATGGGGTTGTTTTATTTTAAAAATTCAAAAACAACACATGATTGATTATTTTTTCTCATGGATTTTATTTTGGAGGGTAGTTTGATCTCAAAACTTTTTGACATCTAGGATGTTTCATGGAAAAAGAAAATTAATATTTATATTAATATATGCTGTGATTTTTCTCTGATCACCGTGTGAATGCAAGATTCTTTGTATATCGAGTTGTATTTCTATAACTTTTTTATTTTATTTTGCAAAAGATTTAAAATTCAGAAACTATTGATCTCGTTGGTATGAATTTATATCGTGTAAGGTCTATTAAAGTAGGACGCATTTCCCATCAAAAAACATTTC